GTATTTTTCTCCCACCAGACATGCCACTAAAGACTTTTGTTGAGGACTATGAAAAAAAAAAAGCTAGAACCCTCTAAGTACTACAATTACATGGTTATGCATGGGGAACTATGTCATAATGCTATTATCTGTAGAAGTTATCCAAAGCAGTGCTGTTCTTACTTCTCCGGTCATACAGGCCTGAGTGCAAAGGCTTTTTTTCTTTACATAGTTATTTACTTTTAGGCCTCTTTCTCACTTGAAAATTCAGACATTAATTGTGGCTGTATCTCTTTTCATATACACTCATTCATTTCGTAAGTGGCTTTTGTAAGTGCCTGGGGTTAAACAGTACTTAATTTAAATGTTAAGTGGTCTAGGTAGAACTAAGTGAATTATGCAGAAGTCATGTTGTAACAAGCTTTATGGGTACATTAATAAAGATCAAACTGTTTTCATTTATAGCTGTCTAGTGTGCAACCATTAACATTACTCTGCTACTTTCTCTACATCAAATAATCTCAGAGCTAAATACTTCTATATTTGAATTTCTACTTTGTTTCTGTTTCAAAGACTAGTCTACACATTTTCTTCCCATATCAATTTCCAAGAAATTAGTTAAACTAATTACCATTGTTCTTGTATAAATGTTTGCGTCCAGACTATCTCATGCGCTACTGATCCTCTTTTGGGTCAGTGATAGCCACAAGGTAGTTATGAATTATTCATTAAGAATGCATGCAAGCTGGGCACCTGTGGCTCACACCTGTAATCCTAGCTACTCAGCATGCTGAGATCTGAGGATTGTGGTTCAAAGCCAGCCTGGGCAGGAAAGTCCCTATGAGATTCTTATCTCCAGTTAAACATTCAAAAACTGGAAGTGGTGCTGTGACTCAAGTGGTAGAGCACAGAGAGCCTTGAGCACAGAGAGGCTCAGGGACAGCGCCCAGGCCCTGAGTTCAAGCCCCACAACAGACAAAAAAAAAAAGATTGCCTGTTCAAGACTCAATCCATGGGCCAACACATATCAGAACTCTTTAATATAGCAGCTATCTTTTATTCTGTTGGTAAGACCAGGAACCAGAGGCTCATGCCTGTAATCCTAACTACTCAGGAGGCTGAGATCTGAGGATCATAGTTCAAAGCCAGCCCAGGCAGGAAAGTCCATGAGACTCTTATTTTCAATTAACTACCAGAAAACTGGAAGTGGTCCTGTGGTTCAAAGTGGTAGATCACTAGCCTTGAGCAAAAGAGCTCAAGGACAGTGCCCAGGCCCTGAGTTCTAGCCCCACCACTGACAAGAAACAAAACAAAACAACACACAATAAAAAAACAAGGCATGCAGATATTACCATTACAAATCAATAAGAGTAGCAGGCATTTTTCAGCAGTTTTTATCCACTAAAATGAGAATTCTTGTATATATTAGCTTTCAGCAGAAATGACACATGTAAACCAGTAAATACTATTTTAGCTGCATGGCTATATAGCATTTAAATTAAGTTTAGAATATATTGGGGGGGGGCTTGAACTCAGGGTTTGGGTGTTGTCCAAGAGCTTTATTGTTCAAGACTAGCATTCTACCACTTGAACCACAACTCCACTTCCAAGAATATATCTTTAATTTATCTTTCTTTCCAGTTTTGTCTACTACTGTTTCATTGAGCTATGTATAATTAACATTTGTTGGGTGCTTGACAGTATGCCTGGTGCATTTCTAAGCATGTAACATGGGTTTATTCATTTAATCTTCAAAAATCACACACAAAATATTATGTTTATTCCTATTTATAGAGTTTAGATAATTTGCATAAGAATATATCAACTAGCAAATGACTAAATAGGAATCCAAATTCAGGTAGTTAGCCTTCAAAGTCCAAGATCTTAACACTAAGCCATAATTTCTCTCAAAGTTAACTATCACTAATCTTCCAAAAATAAACAATAAGTGTCATGAATGATTATGTGTGCTGTTCGGGATCTGCATACAACATCTCAAACTATGATGTGTGGCATGCTGTGTACTTCCAACTGAAGGAGACTGAGAAGGAAGCTTTCAGAAACAAGATCTATCTAGTCTTCCTTTCCTGTGCTCCCTATTTTGGTTTCAGAATTCCCAGCCAGGAATAGTGGGTCTTGGCTATAGTCTCAGTCTCTAGAGGCAAAGCTGAGGTGAGATGGAGGATGGGAATTTCAAAGTCAGCCTCTGTTATAAAACAAGATCTTGTCTTTAACTTAAAGAGAAACTTCTCTGAAGAGGAAAGAAGGATGGCCAATAGACACATGAAGAAATGCTCAACCTCCCTAGCCATAAAAGAAATGCAAATCAAAACAACATTGAGATAACACCTCACCCCAGTTACAATGGCTATAATCAAGAACTCTAATAACAACAGATGCTGGAGGGGATGTAGATAGAAGGGAATCCTACTGCATTGTTGGTGGGAGTGTAAACTTGTTCAACCACTTTGGAAAGCAGTTTGGAGGTTCCTCAAAAGACTCCACATAGAGCTCCCCTATGACCCAGCAATCCCACTTTTGGGCATTTATCCAAATGTTCACAAACAAGACCACACTAAAGCTATGTTTATTGCAGCATTATTTACCAGAGCTAAGATATGGAACCAACCCAGATGCCCCTCAGTAGATGAATGGATCAAGAAAATGTGGTATATATACACAATGGAATTCTATGCCTCCATCAGAAAGAATGACCCATTTGTTAGGAATGCCCCATTTGTTAGGAAATGGAAAGACTTGGAATAAATTATATTAAGTGAAGTAAGCCAGGCCCAAAGAAACATAGGTCCCATGGTTTCCCTTATTTGCAGTAACTAGTACATGTCTGAGTCAAGCAGAAAAGGTCAGATAAGTTGATGTTAGGGAAAAGAACCCTAAGATATGTATTCAAATGTTTTTTTTTTCTTTCTTGCGATTGTTTCTAACATATTTATAAGATGATTTCTTTGTTGCTTTGTATGTCCCTCCCCCACGGTATAATCCCTGCTTTCATTGTATTTGATGTTGGTATAATTTGTGGAGGGGAAGGGTAAAAACAAATTGTTTAAATAGGGATACAGGTGGCCCCATTGTAACAATGAGATGTACAAGACATTATGTCGAAAACGAACTATAGGAAGGGATGGGAAGGGGAAACAAAGGAGGAGGCTACAATGCTTGATAAGAAATGTACTCATTATCTTGCCCATGTAATTGTAACCCCTCTGTACAGTATTTTCACACACACACAAAAAAAGATCTTGTCTTTATCTTTCCAAATTCCTTGGGGAGGGGTGAGGGGGAAGAGGGTTGGGGAGAAGAAAGAAGGGAGGGACGGAGAGAGGGATAGAGATTTCATTCTTAAAACACACAGTGTTGAGTGCTGTAGCTCATAGTTGTAATCCTAGGCACTCAGGAGGCTGACATCTAAGGATTAATATTCTAAGGAAGAAAGTCTGTGAGATTCTTACCTCCAATTAATCACCAGAGGGGGAGAAAAAACTAGAAGTGGTAGTGATGTGGGTCAAGTGGTAGAGCTCTGGCCTTGAGTAAGACAAGCTCAAGGACAGTGCTCAGGCCCTCATTTCAAGCCCCAGGACCTACATGCACACACACACACACACACACACACACCACATCACATCACATAGCCGAAAAAGACAGCTGTCCATCTAAGGGTCTTTGGATCTTCATTTCAGAAAATTGTTTGTCATGGAAAAGCTTGTTAAATAAATGTATGTATTTCCTTTTTTTTTTCCTTTTACAATTAGGTCACCAACCACGAATCTTGCAATGGGCTATGGACCTTTCAGAGCTGAACACAAAGCTGCAACTTTCCTCTATGCACTGCCATAGCTACATCCCATAGGCTTGGCTTGGATTTTTGAGATAGAGCCCTTTGTAACCCAGGCTGGCCTGACAAACTTTTGATATATTCTACTCTTATTTTCCTTTTGTTAAATAGACTTCTTTATCGTCCTTGTGATTTCATCAGCCTATATCCTTGGCATATTGTTTTTATTATAAACATGGAAATGTCTAGTTTTCATGTTTCTTGTGCATAGAATGTACTGTGAATGGTGCCCATGTTCCAAGTATGAGGGGCTTTTGCTCTCTAAAAGCAACATGTGCTCCACAGGGTTCAACAGGAGCTCCACATGGTTCACGGTTCATTATAAACACTCAATTCTTATTGTATGAAGTTTGATGTTGATCAGATTCTCTGAGTTTCCACTAACTCCTGAGTGAAACCCCCAAGGTCACTCACTTCCCCATGATAAACCAACGGGTGGTGAGTTAGTTCCAATTATTCCTTCTTTTCTGCTACCTCTTTCCTCTTCGTATTTTAAAATGTAACAACACCTGACTAGTTAAAAACAGAAAAAGAGAATTAAGTCTGGCCTAGAGGGATAAAGGATGCTTGCTTCTCTCTAATACATGGAAGCTAAGCCTAATTTATAAACGTACAAGCAAACACATACATAGGGGTTGTATGCTAGTGTACACCACTGTATTGACTGGAGTATGGTATTTGAAGAGAAGAATACAAACCGTGTAATTCCTTAGAAAAACTAACAGTCAACAAAATGAAGACCAGGAAACTGGCACTGGAAAGGTGTGTGGAGGAGGCGATGTGGCGGTGATAGAGAATGAAGGGAGGAAGGGATGAAATGAAGTTATAGTAATGAAGAGGAAAGAGGGAGAATGCAGGCAGACTAGGCCATGCATATCCCATGAAACTGAAAACCTGCGGGGTGGAGTTGGGAGGGCTGGGAGAGAAGGATGAAATGGGTAAACATCAAGATGCATGGCTCTTCCATAAACGGCCCTGTTGAATGACAATTCCTTAGGACAACTAGCTGGGGGAAAGGCTGGGCCCAGGATCCCCCACAGTACCAGCGCCCTCCGCCGGACGCACGCCGCAGGCGTGGCAGAGCAGGGGGCGGGGCCGCGCAGGGGGCGGGGCCGCGCGGCGTGCTGGCGTCAGAGAGGCCCGCGACGCCGGCGGGGGCTGAGGGCTTGGGGCGCGGGTTCTGTGAGGTGAGCCGGGGCCTGGGCGGCGGCGGCGGCGGCGGCGGGGCCCCAGCAGGACCTGGCGCGGCGTCCGCGGTCTCCGGGGCGGGGGCTGTGGTCGCGAGGCCCCCTCCCCGGGGAGGCGGAGCCGGGTCGAGCCTGGGCGGCGGCGGCGCCGGCCGGGAACCATGCATCAGAAGCTGCTGAAGAGCGCGCATTACATCGAGCTGGGCAGCTACCAGTACTGGCCGGTCCTGGTGCCCCGCGGCATCCGCCTCTACACCTACGAGCAGATCCCCGTGTCCCTCAAGGACAACCCGTACATCACCGACGGCTACCGGGCCTACCTGCCCTCCAGGCTGTGTATCAAAAGGTAAGGGCGGCCCGCCGCGCCCGGCACCCCCGCCCGGCGGGTCCGGTCCCCCCGCTCCTCACCACCATCTCCTCCCTGCCCGGTCCTGCCCCGCCGGGGCATTTGATCCCCCGGAATGATGATGATGATGATGATGATGGTAACCGCGATTGCCCAACTCTCCGCGGCGCTTGGGTGTTTTCTCCGGGGCGCCTGTGGTTCCTTGATTTCCCTGCGGTGCGTATTCGGGATGCGCCCCCCGTGGACGACGAAGCCGCTCTGGACCCAGTGCATCGCTGAACGCTGTGCCGCTTTTTAGAACGTAACAGCCGTGGGGGGAAATGCAGATTTTCGGGACCGATGCCTGGATAAAGAGGAAACAACTTCACCCTGCCGCCCACATGTATAGCAAACCCCGATTCATTTCCTTTAGCAGATAACTGACGGATTTCCCTGCTAGGGGGCTAGGGCACTGTGTCAGATCCCCCTGCAGAGAACAGCAGTCAATCCTGATCCCTGTTCCCATAAAGCTGCTCAGGACTAGCCCGGGCGACAGGCACTACAGAAGTAATGACATTATTACATAATCGCTATTGTGGAAAATAATGTGTAAGAAAAGCCCTATAGCAAAGAGCGTGATCACAGGGCACACCCAATCTCCACGAGTGCACCTGAGAAGCACCTCTTAGAATCTGTTTCATGATCATTCCAACCTGTAAAACCAGAGTCTCTTAAAAGCCTGTGCTAAAAGGAAACTAAAAAAAAATGTTCTTCTAGTCTTTTTTTAAATAGCTTTCTGTCAAAATTCATTGAATGTACTTAAGGCCCCACTTTAACAAATATCAGATAGCTCTAGGTCTTTGTAGTGGCAAACTCCAATTCTGGAATGCAAGTTCTTGAACTGCTTACGCAGTACATATCTTTTTCTTGATTTTTGCCATGGTGGTTCTTATCATCCTCAATAATTTTGAAGATCTTATTATGATAACGATTCTTGATTTTTGAAGTTGAACAGTTTGGGGATGCCTAACTCTTTACACAATAAAAATAGGTCTTCTGTTGAGGAGATTGTTTCACCTGATCTTCCTTAATCTCTTCCAGATTCAGCCTTTGCTCTTTTGCAGCTTTCAACAATGACCAAGTTCTGTATGTCCCAACAGGTCTAGTTGTCTTCTGCTACACAAGGAACATAGAAAGAATGGTCAGTTAGTCACATTACACGGGTCTTCACAAAATGCAATAGTGACAATAGGCAAGATGCAGTGTTGTCAGTTGCATATTTTTTTGAATATTCCTGCATCCTGTCCCCAGTTACATGAAGTCTTTACATTTGATGCTGTCTGTACAAGATAAAAATCTTTGGCTTCATGAGACAATATTCAGTTTTTTTTTTTGGTGGTTAACTGAAATCTTGCCTTTTTTTTTATCACTTGTAAAAATGGAAAAATGACAAGTATTCTGGCAGGCATTCAGTAAGTTAGTCATATACTAGTGCTTACTCCTGAGGATTCCTGGATCCACAACAGTCAAGGCTTAATTTAAGCAAAAAGGTTGTACTTTGCTAGAGAAATGGGAGAATATTTTAATCTTTAGTCATGATACTGCCTTTCAATAAGAGAGGCACACCTGAAAAGCATTTTATACAATCACTGAAGGAGCTGGAAGTAAGAGCAGCAGCATCTCATGTGTTGTTTTGTTTTATAGTTAAAGAAACTGGAGTTCAGCAGTGGTACTCCTAGCTACTCTGGAGACTGAGATCTGAGGATTGGTGTTGGAAGCCAGCCCTGGCAGGAGAGTCCATGAGACTTTTATCTCAGATAAACCACCAAAAGGCCAGAAGTGGAACTTTGGCTTCATTGGTAGATCTCCAGCCTTGAGCGAAAATGCTAGGGGACTGAGGCAGGCTCTGAATTCAAGCTTCAGTACTGGCACCAAAAACAACAACAACAATAATAACAACAACAAAACCTTAAGCTCAGAATATAAACGTTTATATGCTTATCATTGCTGAACTAATTGTGATTAATTGTGGCAGGGATGAAGAGGAGACTAATTGTGGCAAAGAGTGAACAACAGTCTTGATTCCTGGTGTGGGTAGTACATTCTTGCACCAACCTATGCTGCCAAAGGCAATGGTCAAGACATTTCAAAAGAGGACAAATAGTGCCCATATTAAAAGTAACCTCTTTTTGGTCTTAAGAAATATAAACTCATGCCACCTGGAAACAAGAACCTTCCAGTGTGTTAGTGTGTTTATTCTGCTTCTCTTAAATTCATTTAACTTTGTTTTTAATGAGTACTTACAAAGGTATTTTAAAATTTCTGACCAAGCTTGCAGTGAGCACCTTTTCATGTAGCTATTATTGACAGTGTTATAGCTCACATCCAGTTTTTATCTGCATACTTATTTTTCTAGAGTGAATAATCTGAGCAAGTCAACTTTTCTTAGAAAAATGGTGTCATGTAGATGAATAGAAGGCGTCAGGGGGTTGATAGGCTGGAGGATTCACAAAAAGAAATTGTAAGTATGAGAAGAATTGAACATCAGAAAGCTCTAAGGTCCTAGGATTATTAGAGATAGATTAAACCTCAGATTAATTGAATTGATCGATAGTTCAACTTTAGATGGTCACAGCTAAGGATAAAGGGCTTAAAGTAACAAATACTAAGTCACTTCTTTAAATTGTTCCCAACCAGTATGAATCTGAGCTACATGTTTGTTTACTTTGCAGTTTATTTATTTTATCTAACGAAACAGTAAACATCTGGAGTCATTTGCTGGGTTTCTTTCTCTTCTTCACCCTGGGAATATATGACATGACATCTGTGTTACCTTCTGCAAGTGCATCCAGAGAAGATTTTGTAATTTGTTCTATTTGTCTTTTCTGCTTCCAGGTGAGTCATTTCACAACCACTGTTATTACTAAAGAGAACTTTTTTTTATTATAACACAACCCCCACAAAAGTCTGTTGTTCTATATTTAGATGTTATTAAGTATATTTGAAATCCATTAGATTTCAAAATTGAAAAAATATTTCCTTATTATTATTATTATTTTGGCACCAGTATTGAGGCTTGAACCCAGCCAGGGCCTCATGCTCTTGCTGGCTTGCTTAGTCACAGCTGGTGCTTTACAACTGCACCTACAGTCCAGCTTTATTTGCTGGTTAATCAGATGTATGAGATATATGAGTCTCTTGGACTTTTTTAAATTGTTGTTGTTGTTGGTCATGGGGCTTGAACTCAGGGCCTGGGCTCTGTCCCTGAGCTCTTTTTACACAAGGCTAGCACACTACTACTTGAGTCACAGTTCCAATTCTGGTTTTCTGGTGGTTAATTGGAGATAGGAATGTCACGTACTTTCCTGCCAGGGCTGGCTTTGAACTGTTATCCTCAGATCTCAGCCTCTTGAGTAGCTAGGATTACAGGCATAAGCACCAGAACCAGACCACCTTTATTTATTTACTTTTTGTTGGGGGAGGGAGGTAAAGTTTCACTATGTAGCCTAAGTTGTCCTTGAACACAAGACTCAAGATCATCCTGCCTCCTACTAAGTGCTGACATTAGTCAACATACTCTGCTCTTTATCTTTGGCCTCTCTATTTAAAAATTAACATTTAAAATTGAATATGAATATCCAATTGTACTCTATTAATCTGGCTGAAGATCACTAGAGTCTTCAAAACCTATTTGGAATGATTTATAGTATATCTGTTTTTTGTATTTGCTTTTTCTGTATTGCCTTTTAAAAAACTATCTGATTTTTACTGGTATTAATCTTTTGTTCTATTGCTATTGCTTTAGTGCTAACTTTTTTGATCCTTTCATAGTTCCTTGGTTTCAGATACTTTCAGTTCCTACTCTTCTCTGAGTCTTGGAGTTGCTAGTTGTACTGTATTTTTTTTTCAAACATCTATAGAAACGCCTTTAAATATATTCAGTATTTTAAAATATAGATCCTTCTAATACAAAAACAAATATGGGGCATAATCACTTAACATTTTAATAAATGTACAAAATGCAGAGAATAGAAAAACACCACTGTCCAAGACTCCCTATCCTTAACCTGTTACAGGTCAGTTTTGAGATAGGAACCCGTAAGTCATCCACATAGATGTTGTTTTTATTTTGTCAATTTTAGACCAACATTTTCTACAAAACTTTTGACCTAAAGGACCAAGAAGCCATCTATACTCCCCTCTTTCTTTCTAATTCTAATTTCAGTTTAGCAAGTATTTCTTGAATGCCTACTTCTAGGCCCCGTGCTAGGCAGCAATGATTAATGCTGAATGGCACCAACAATTTATAAAGATCAGATTACCTGTGTCAGAAGACTGGAGAAAGTGAAGCAGAGCATTTAAGCAGAGAAGATGATTGTATAAAGATTCAGAAGCAAGAGGAAGCTTACCACTTTCTGGACTTGTAGGTGTTAGTCTTTATGGTTGATTCCTAGGAGAACAGAGAAAGGAATGGTTGGAAAAATAAGCAAGGGCCAGATCCAGAGATGTTTAGGTTATCATGCCAATGAGCTTAGATGTGAAGGGTATAACATTATAATTATCTTTCCACATTGGTAAATAAGAGATTCCATAGAAAGAAGTTTTCTATTATAACTGAAACATGCCCAATTTGCCAGAGTTGCCAGAGTATTCTTTTTTTTTTTTTTTTTTAGCTCTTAAGGAACATTGAATCTTTTTAAACAGAGCATACTAAATATAGATTAACTTTTTCAAAACCTGGGCTTCTATGCTAGCATTATTTTCTTTTCCCTTTGATACCATAGCTGTTTCCTATTCACAATGAAGTGAGTTGCATCATTTCTTATTACTATAATTTAAAAAAAACAAGATTATGGAAAAAAGTTAAAAAAAAAGTAAAAGTCACTTAAAGTCAACTTTATACAGATATGATATGCAAGGCTATCTCACACCAGGTTGCTTACTTGATTACCAGTCTACCTAACTTCTAAGTTAATATCATGTCTGACTGTTATTTTGTTCTGGCTCTTTTATTATCCATTACTGAGACAATGAGGTCTTTCCCTGTCATTGAAAATATATATCACGATACTCTTCAGATTTATGGCTCATAATCACAAGGATAATCTGAGAAAACAACAAAACTTCTTAAGACATGTTTATTTGGGCCATTAAACTAATTGATAACTTAGTAGCCCAAAGACACAGACTAGTTAGGATTTCAGATAGTGGATAAAGAAATGAAGTCCTGGCTAACTGCGTTGTTACTTAATATTGACATTGAGTCTGAAGGAACTGGTTGAACTTGTTTCATGACTAGAATATAAAAGTATACTCGAGATCTTTAGTAGTATAACACCTAACCTATATTGAAATTTCAGGATCATGATGTGAAAACAGCTACATGACATTTTTTAATGAATCTATATTTTTCATTATGCTACTTTACTTTGTGAACCTCCTCACCAAAATGTACGTTTGTGTAATATGTATGTTTAACGTACCTCATGAGTACCAGCCAAACTTTAAATCCAGGTCAGCTGATGACACTTTTGTGACCTTTTTTTCCTCTCCTAGATGAACACACACCCCTCCCCCACAGAGCTGGCACCCTTCCTCCTTAATTTTCTAGTTGTGCTCATCATTGACATTTAAGACTTACCCCCCTCCCGCCCAATATCCTTTTGAGAGTAGTGGATTCGTCTTTGCATCCCTTATCCCTTTCCAAAGTGAGGTACACAACAGGTTTTTAATAGCTAGAGGGCATTCTGCCATAGAAACTGTTGATCATCAGAGCTTCTGACTGAATCATACCTGCTTTATAGTCCTTTGGCAACCATATAAAATCTAGTCACGATTATTTTCCTTGGAGACAACAAAGCCAGATTTACTTAAGACCTAGTAAACTCTACACAATCTATTTCATAACACACAAGGTCTTAAAATTGCAGTGAGCTGGTATGATTGCTTACATTATCATCCTAGCTATCTAGGAGGCTGAGATAAGAGGATTATAATTTGAGGCCAACCCAGGAAAAAAAAAAGTCGTGAGACCCTATCTCAGCAAGTTAGCGCAGGTCTGTAATCCCAGCGATAAAGAAGGCATATGTAGGAGAATTGAGAACTTAGGTGGTCCAGGCAAAAGTATGAAACTCTATCTGAAACTTAAGAGAAACAAGACTGAGAGCATAGTTCAATTGGTAGAGCACTTGACTAGCAAATATAAGGCTCTGAGTTCAAGCCCCAGTACTGCCACACACACACACACACACACACACACACAAAGGAAAAAAGAAAATTGTGAAACAAAATTATAGTGAGTTATTCGAGTAATTTTGAAGAATATTGTATGTTTGAAGACCTGAGCATCACAAACATGCTCTTGGAAATAAACAGTAGTAAAAGCTTGTATTTTTACACCGTAGACTACAATTTTAAGGACATCTGTTACTTTGGTAACTTTTTTTGTTTTTTAAAATAAACTTACCAGATCCTAGTGAATCACACCTGTCATCCTAGCTACTTAGGAGGCTGAGAACTAGAAGATCACAGCTCGAAGCGAAGCCCAGCAGAATAGTCTGAGAGGCTTCATCTTCAATGTAACACGCAGAAAGCCAGGTTGGAGACGTGGCTCAAGTGGGAGAGTGACAGCCAAACATGCAAGCCAAGCAGGCAAGAAGCTCAGAGTTAAAAACCCTGGTCCCAGGCAAAAAGAAAAGTAAACTCATTGATAGATTAAAATAATCAAATAAATCATGTATGATATTTTAAAACAACATTTGTGTCATATACTTTGCCCAACTTTGTGCTTTTCATTTACAATTTTATATTACGAAAATAGCTAAATTTCGTTTCTTTTTGAATGGTGTCCCACTGATGGGCTTGAGGCAGAGAAATGACATCATAACTTGCCCGACTGTTGGCACAGAGCCAGAATCTAGGCCAGGGTGTATAACTAAGGAGCCTGGACTCTTAAAAACACCTTCATGAATGTCGTGATGAGTTGCTTTATTTATTTTTCCTTTGTTACATAGTTGTTGTTTTTTTATATTCTTAGGTCTGTATGCTTTGTTCTGTGGGCTATCATCTTTTTTCCTGCCATCGGTCAGAAAAAACCTGTCGAAGATGGATGGCATTAGATTATGCCGGAATTTCTATTGGAATACTGGGCTGCTATGTCTCAGGAGTGTTTTATGCATTTTATTGTAATAATGTAAGTAGTTCAAAGTGTTGCACATTCTGTCTTTTCTATAGATCTTGGATTTTCTTGCAGTGGTTCCTTTGAATTTCTGAGTACATAATTAGTACATCTAATATCACTTCTGTACTTCAATATATTACTAATTTTCCATTGGAATAAAAAAGTACATAGTTATTTATAAAACTTACTGTGAATATTGAATTACCATGTTTCCACTAAATCCACATAGCTACCGTTGCTCAGACACTCACATTGGATTAACTTCTTAGTGAAGAAAATAAAGGTTAATGTATGTATGTGTGGACCCCCAATCTATAAGACCACATAAGGCATCATGTGTTGTTCTGAGTTCTGGTCAACTCTGCTTTCTGTCCCTGTGATCCCAAAAGTCATTTTTTTTTACCTTGTACAAAGCAGTATTTGTGACTGTGATCAGATAATACAACATCTGACCTAAAATGTCAGCCAACCAAGCATTGTGGAATATAACTAATTCATTACCTCATGTTCAACCAGTGAGCAAACTCAGTCTTCCCTTGCAGAAAATGCTGTAAATCTGGACATATGATACTTGCCTATAACCTTGCACTCAGGAGGTTGAGGTAGGAGAATTGTGAGTTCAAAGCTGGCCTAGGCTGTATAGAATGACTACATCTCAAAAGAAAAATAAAAGTTCCACTGACTCTACTGTAGTTTTTTCCTCCTGTTCTTCTACTATACTTTTTGTTTTTTGTTTTCTCTTTTCTCTTACCTACTTTTCAGAGCCAAAACTTTGCTTCTTCTTTGGGAGTAGTACACCTACTATCTAGTAACATGACCTGCCCAAGACTCCTTCTCTAAGGTGCTCTAAGCCACAGTCCCCAGCAGTCATTTATTGTGAAGATTGGCTCGGCACAGATTCTTCTTTTTGGGATTCTGAAACAGATCCTTTGAATCCTTTCTGTGATGACAGAACTGTCAGCATAACTGGTATAAAAAAGTTATAAATCAGTTTTGAATACCTTAGCGAATTATTAGTTGTATCCACTTAAATGTGAGCCATTTGTTTCTTAAGCTTGACTACTTTGGAATATACTCATAAAATTAAATATATATGCGATTAAACTTTGTTGTAAATTGATTTGATCTATCAAACTCTGCCTGCCCCAAATGAATAATTTTTTGGGGGGGGGGTGGTCGGCCGTGGGGCTTGAACTCTAGGCCTGGGCACTGTCCCTGAGCTCTTCAGCTCAAGGGGAGCACTCTACCATTTAAGCCATAGCGCCACTTCCAGTTTTCTGGTGGTTAATTGGAGATAGTCTCATGGACTTTCCTGCCTGGACTGGCTTTGAACCATGATCCTCAGATCTCAGCCTACTGTGTAGTTATTATTACAGGCGTGAGCCACTAGCGCCCGATAAAACTGTATATCTTTTTTGTAAAAAAAATTAGAAGGAACATGCTAATTACTGGCTTAAAATTGTTGTGATGTAATTTAGTTATTTCCTCATTCTGTATTTCCCTGGTTTGTTTTCTATTAACTTTTTCCTAAACATTAAAGTGGGACACTAGAAAAAGAGAAGGAACTACTCTAGTTAATACATGCCATGTTTGTGTAAAGGAAAAATTGCATTCTTCCTTCTAGTTTCTATTTCCAACTATTCAGTTGCTTTTGTTCTGTTCTTTACCTTTTAAGGAACATAAACTGCTTTCAGAATGAGACTAAAAACTATGGACGCTTCATTCAGGAGAATATATATTTGGGCACACACCTAAACAATCTGACATGAGATTTCAGGAAGTGAAGAGCTCTGTAGAAGTTCTAGGAGTGCAGGTTAAGAACCTTGTTCTATACGATGTTAACTTTTGAGCTTCTAGATCAGCTTGTCAATGACTCACATAGAGCTCTTCATAGTTTAAAATGAATATTCTTTTACACTCCCTGTCCTTTTCCCCAGGACACTCTACATATGGATCATCTATGATCATTTATTCCATTACTGGAAACCATTAATGTGGCCTTTCAAGCTAGAAAGACTCAAGCCCTATCCTGCTATTCTCTCACATTTACTCAGCCATTGAGACTTTATTAGGCCTTCAGAGGCATTCAGAAATGCTCTGAATCTGGTACTCACTTCTCAGACCCATTCTCTCTTTAGTAAACTCCCAGTGTCTTTCTGACTGGATTTTTCTCACCTTTTTTACCCCAGTAAGCTTTTTTATAAATAAGGCAGTTTGAAAATGCCATATCATCCCCTTCTTAAACAATACCTAGTGTCAGCAAAGTAAAGTTTAGAATCTTTAGCCTGGCCTCAATGATCGTCAGTCGGCCGTCTCCAAATGTCTGTCTGCATTTGCTGCTCCTTTTCCTTGAAAGCTCCTTCCCACACAGTCTTAGGGTTCCTCCAGACCTAGCTTGTCTCCTCTGTAAAGTATTTATTGCTCTCTCAGGTAATATTCATTGTTCTCTCTCCAGTGGTTCTAACAGCATGATTTGGAACCCAATTATAATACCATTTGATATGATCATTTATTTACATATCTGTCCCTCCCTGAGTCTATTAACTCACTCACTGAGAGAGTCCTTTTATAATCAGCCTTGAAGCTGGGCTCTGGTGGCCATACCCATGGTCCTAGCTATTCAGGAGGTAAAGATATGAGGATCACAGTTTGAAGCCTAGGCAGGAAAGTCCATGAGACTTTTATCTTCAATTAACCACCAAAAAACTAGAAGTAGAGCCATGGCCCAAGTGAGAGAGTGCTACTTGTTTCTACATAGCTATGTGTTTGACATATAACAGAATAGGTATACAGAAAGTGTATATGTAGGGATAATTTTCTTTTACCAGCTCCCTTTGAAGTTTGGTTTGTCAGCCTTGAGAAACTTAATTACATGGAACATAACCTTTTTTTAAAGAAGGGGAATAATCTTGTTTCGGAATGAAAATACCAGGAAAATATTTGTGCCATATATAATAATAGAAGCTAAAAATACTAACTTCCTTCAATTACAAGTTTATTTTCTTTTGTTTTAGTATTGGCGCCAAGTGTATTTGATCACCGTGCTTGCTATGATCCTGGCAGTGTTCTTTGCACAGATCCATCCCAATTATCTTACACAGCAGTGGCAGAGACTCCGCTCTATCATTTTTTGCTCTGTTTCGGGATATGGCGTGATCCCTACTCTTCACTGGGTTTGGCTTAATGGAGGAATTGGTGCACCTATTGTTCAGGTAGGTTGAGTGAAGTTGGTATTTCCCTTAATTTTTTTTGGTCATTCTTATTTCTTTTTATAGAGTAATATAATTAGGCCTTATGAGTGATATTGTGACACTTAAGAGCATATCTTTAATGGCATATTGACATCATAATTTTCACTTCTCTCAGCAGTAATGTTAAAAGGTAGACTATAATGCAGTACCTCTAAAATTCACAGAAAAATTTAACCCAGAATTATTTTCTGAGCTGAATTATACGTGTCATTTTGGGGAAATTACACTTTTAGGTAGCAGAATGTAAAGCTTTACACAGCTCTATTAGTTAAATACACCTTTCAGAATTAAGGTAAAGTCTAATTACTCTTGGTTCTGAGATGTCATTTCTGTTGAACAATACATTCTTAGTTCTTTCTCTGTTACCATTACTATGTAAATATCTAAATCCTTATCTCGGGAGAACTTCAGAGTTTCTAGCTTCTCTGCTGTGCTAGAAGTAATGCGAAAGATAACCAACAGGAGCAATTGATTTTTTTACCTGGGGATGGGGTAGGAATTGGGAAGGACTTTTTTGGTTTGAGGTTCCTATAGCATATAAAGACAGACATAGGGTCTAAACTTTAGGCCAGAGTTTGAGATAGGGATAAAGATTTGGATCATCAGGTAGCTGGAACCAGGAAAACAGAGTTAACCCACCAAGGAAAAAATACTAAGAATAGAAGAAGAGTTATTAAATTCAGGTACAATAGGGGAAGTGTGTGTGCATTACGAAGAACCTCGGTGACAGCTAAGTATTTATACAAAGAGGATTAGAAATAAAGACATTCCTTATAGGCCCTTATTAAAATGTTCTAAATATGAGCTAGAAAGCAAAACTAAAAATGTTTAAATTAACATAACTAAATATGCCAGGAAAGCTGGCAGAAATCACACTTGTTCGCTGGGACCTATGTATGGAAAGTGAGAGTTTAAAGGCAGGGTTGTTCCAAAAGCATCAGTTTAGTACAATTGGAAGGACTACTGGGCTTACATTCAATCACAAGAAGCTGGCAGTATGATAGAGAAAAGTGTGAGTAAACCACTGAAAGAAAAAGGAAGTTATATGACAGTGAATTGAGTGCAGTGATCTGGCTAATCTGGCCGTCTGGATAATTAAGAAATTGAGAAAAATTTGCAATTAGTAGCAGTTATGAGAAGCATAGGTGATTCTGCAATTTGTAAAAACATCATTTCTCAGACAATTTGATCCCCCAAGAATAAGAAATTACAAGGGGAAACTACCACCCTTGGTTTAATTCTAACCAGAAGTGATTCATTGCTAATGTGGAAGTGATTAAATTCCTATATATAGACAATAAATCTCTATTAAGCTTATAATGATAAAGAAAAAGAAAAAGACCTATTAAGCCAATAGATTTTAGAGAAATTCAGAAAAAAATGAGACTATTTCCATATCTGCAAACCTTAAGATATATGACTAGATAGTGGTTCTCAAAGATGAAATTCCTGTATGATTACAGGTCAACATTAGAGTGAGAGCAAAGAGAAGCTTTCAGAGATTAATCTCATTTTGGAAGGAGAAAAGCTAGAAGGGCCAAAGAGCATATATGTACACACACACACACACACACACATGCACAATCTGAAATTCTCCATTTACCCTGCCCCCCAGGTATCCACAGCTGTAGTTGAACTCCACATGAAGGCATGATTGTGCCTTCATGGTGGACAACGAGTCCATCTATGACAGCTATCATAGAAATCTATATATTAAGCATCCAACCTACACTAACCTTAACCACCTGTTAGCCAGATTGTGTCTTCCACAGAATAATGAAACCCATCAAACACTGTTTTAGAAAGTTGAGGAGGAGTGAGAAGTATAAAGGAATGTTGGAAGTAGTAAACTTAAATTTGTTCAAAGTCCTCTGTAGTCACCTGTGGACATATGAAATCCTGTTATACTATAATGTGTGCTAATGAAATATTTACAGAATAACAAAGAAAAGTAGACCACTAAAGAAGATACAGAGTTCTGGGAGAGTTGAGTAGAAGTTTGAAGCATTGACTGGAAATTTTGTTTTAGAGAGTGTTAAAGAATTCTGAGGCTGACTAATCAGAAGGCTCTGAGTTAGGGAGAGTAATAATTCTCAGAAATTTGAGGAGGAAAGAGAAATAGATTGTCTTTATTTCTTTTTTTTGTTTGTTTTTTTATTTTATTTTATTTGTGAACATACTGTACAGAGGGGTTACAATTACATGGGCAGGATAATGCGTACATTTCTTACCAAGCATTGCAGCTTCCTCCTTTGGTTTACCCTTCACATTCCCTGTCTTTATTTCTTGAATGAACTTGAGGTACAGTCGGTTTGTAATCAGAATTAGAAACGTACATATTATGGCTGAAAAATCATATTTAAAAGTCATTGATCTGGGATCTTGGAAGAGATTCTGTTATGGGCAATACTGTTTAGTCCTTTTCCTGCATGCAGCATTTCACCCCTATACTTACATTGTAGGGTTGTTGAATATCCTCAGGATCTTAATACAGAGTGGAAGCTCCAGTTCCTTTCATAGCCTAATCTTTACAACATCACTGTGTTCAGTTCCTGTGCCCTGCTTCCTATAGCAGGAAAGCAAGAGATTTAGCTACTGGAGATTTTCTCAGAATAATTCAGGTTTAGCAACCCTAAATTTTACCGCTGTGCTCATAATGAATTGAGAATTCAGTATAAATATGAAAATGTGTAAAACATACAAACAACTTTTTCCCCCCCAGGACTTTGCACCCCGTGTAATTGTGATGTATGTGATTGCTCTTCTTGCTTTCCTATTCTACATTTCCAAAGTCCCAGAAAGGTATTTTCCAGGTAGGTGTTTATTTTTTCATGGTTTTGTAGCTTAATATATCAGGAGTAAATGCTTTAGAGAATTAAAACTTAGATGTCTATTTTTTAATGTTTTGATTATGAAGTAATTGTTTTTTTTCCCCAGATATTACCTGTAACTTTACCTTTCCAGATGCATTCACAGACTTTCCCTTTGGTTGGCAGAGTTTCCACCGTCTTACAGTTACAAACCAATGACAAAATTGACTCAGTCTCCATTCTTTTTTTTTTAAGAAAATTCAGATATTAATCATGTAATATTTTCGGAATTAATTTTTACATGTGAGCTATATAAAGCAAGAAATAATATTTTCAGAATTAACTTTTATGTGTGAGCTATATAAAGCAAGAAATAAGGAAAGTACAGAGACAAAAGGAAGTCAGAGAAGGATGATGAAAAGAGGCCAGGTTTAAGCTCATTTTACAGTACAGTAGTGCCCCCTTATCTGTAACTAGGGACCTGTGCTTTACCACAGTTCATAGTATTAATACCTGTTTAGAGTCTTTGAAGGGAGATCATATGCATAGAACTTTTACTACAGTATATTGTTTTGCTTATGTTTTACTATTCATTGTTAATCTCTTACTATGTCCAATTTGTAAATTAAACTTTTATCGTGTGTAGGAAAAAATTGTTTATGTAGAATTTCATATTGTCAACAGTTTCACTCATCTACTGAGGAGTATTGAAATGTATTCTTCATGGATGAGAAGGGACTATTGGATATACATCTTAAGGCTCTATAAAATAGGTAAAGACAAAAGTAAGATGTTCAGCTACCTGATGTTTCGATTTGGAGGACTATAAGTCAGGGAGAAGTCTAAATATAAACTGCAAACTTGCCCCACCTCTTTCTCTTTAGGTTAAGAGTTATTTCCATAGTGAACTGGAGATGGCCTTGTAACACTCTTTATATGTGCTGAGGAAGTGGCTGAGGAACCTTGGTCTCCAGAATGAGTTCTCCCTCTATGCTCAGATGTTCCTCTCTGTGCTTTAAATACTGAGCTTTAAATAAGAATGGGAGCACAGTGTATAGAAGAACCTACGTGTATAGAATTTGAATTTGGATACATAGTTAGATATATCCCCAAGTTGATTTTTTAAATTACTTTATTATATGATAGTCTTCAAATTCTGGATCTAGAAAAATAGCTCTAGTGCTAGAGCCACCTTCAAGCTCTGGGTACTGGGTTTGGTCACCAACACTGCAAAAAATAATTTAAGAAAATACATAGATACAAAAAATAATAATTTAAGAAAATATATACATATATGCGTTAAAATTCTGTTTTTTCAGCACAGTCAAGTAAAAATTTGAATTATAAAAATGTTTTTACACCATGTCATTATGGCCATGTGTTTTCCACCCTTAAAATATTTAGATCAGAGGTTAAGAATTGTGGAATATAGGGTACTTTTAAAAGATCAGTATGTACCATTCCTCCAAGATGAGCTTGATGTGCATGTAGCTGACTGTGTGGTTGTATGCAGGTACATGAGAGCCTGGAAGACAGTGCAACTATAAACAATTTAGTCTTAAGTGATAGTATTAAGTTTTCACTTATATGATACCTTTCATGCATGAAAGTGTGGGAAGTACAAAAACAGTGAATATTAAGAAATTATTAAAACTAATCCTGAAAACTTAAATTCAGCTTAGGTGTTTTTGTTCCACAGTGGTCTTTGATGGGTTCAAGGAACTCCAACCTGAAAGAATTGAGTGGTTTTCTGATGCATAAGATAGTCTATTTTCTTTGTAATCTTTTGTATTTTTAAGAATGTATCTGTAGACTTAACTCTATAGTTCAGTGGACTTGGGTCATCAGAGAAAGACTTTAGACCCACACAGAAAGAATCCCATTTCAGATACATTTTTTCTATAGTTGTACACGGAGTTTCCATTTTAACCTGTTCAGTTTTGTATTCAGTGCATCCTGATCATCCACTCCCTCCATCACTCCCCTCTTTTCCCCCTTTCTTCCCAAATCGGTTTCATTTTCATACTCTATTATTCTTTAAAATCTATGTTCTGTTCTGATTATTCCTATTAAGAATAAGAAGAAGGTAAGTACCAATGGTTCATGCCTGTAGTCCTAACTGCTCAGTAGGCTGAGATCTGATTATCAAGCTTCGAAGCCAGAAACTTTTAACCTCCAATTAGTCAACAAAAAGCTAAAAGTGTAGATGTGGCTCAAGTGGTAGAAGCACCATGTTCAAGCCTCAGTACTGGTGCAAATGCAAGTTCACACTCAAAGGAAAAAGAAAGAGGAAAACAAATGAAGAAAAAGTTTACAGAATGCCAACAATGGAGAAGAGTGCGGCTGAAATCAGGAGAGCAACTCTATTCGTCATAGCTCCACAAAAAATAAAGTATTAAGAATTAACTTAACCAAAGAAGTGAAGGACCTCTATGAGGAAAACTTTAAAAACCTGAAAAAGGAAATCAAAACAGAATATAGAAAGTGGCAAAAACTCCCATGCTCCTGGATTGGAAAGACCAACATCGTAAAAATGGCAGTACTTCCAAAGGCTATCTACAAATTCAATGCAATACCTATCAATATTCCAACCTCATTCTTTAAGGAAATAGAAGAGGCAATCCAAAAATTCATATGGAAAAATAAAGGACCCGAATAGCAAAAACTATCCTTAACAGAAAGAACAGAGAAGGAGGAATATCAATACCAAATTTCAAACTCTACTACACAGCCATAGTAATCAAAACATCTTGGTACTGGCACAAGAACAGACCTCAGGACCAATGGAATAGAATTGAAAACCCAGAAATGAACCTACAGACCTATAGCCACCTAATCTTCGATAAGGAAGCTAAAAAAAATGGAATGGAAGAAAGACAGCCTCTTCAGTAAATGGTGCTGGCAAAATTGGTTAATCACTTGTAGAAAACTAAAGCTAGATCCTTATATATTGCCCTGCACCAGAACCAACTCCAAATGGATCAAAGACCTCGGAGTCAAAGCAGACATCCTGAAAACATTACAGGAAGGAATAGGAGAAACCCTAGGTCTTGGCACAGGCCGAAATTTTCTCAATAGAGACCCAGAAACACAACAAATCAAAGAAAGGTTAGACAAATGGGATTGCATGATAAAGGACATAGCTAGCAAGATCAATAGAAAGCCCATTGATTGGGAGAAGATCTTCACTAGCCGTACAACAGAGAAGGGTCTCATCTAAAATATACCTGTAACTCAAAAAATTAAATCCCCCAATAACAAATCCTCAAAGAAACAATCGCCCAATAAATAAGTGGACTAAACACTTAAAGAGAAACTTCTCTGAAGAAATGCTCAACCTCTCTAGCCATAAAAGAAATGCAGATCAAAACCACATTGAGATACCACTTCACCCCAGTTAGAATGGCTATAATCAAGAACTCTAATAAAAACAACAGATTCTGGAGGGGATGTGGACAGAAGGGAACCCTACTGCATTGTTGGTGGGAGTGTAAACTTGTTCAACCATTTCATAAAATAGTATGGAGGTTCCTCAAAAGACTCCACATAGAGCTCCCCTATGACCCAGCAATCCCACTTTCGGGCTTTTACCCGAATGATCACAAACAAGACCACACTAAAGCTACCAGCACAACTCTGTTTATTTACCATAGCTAAGATATAAAACCCACCCAGATGCCTGTCAGTAGATGAATGGATCAAGAAAATGTGGTATATATACACAATGGAATTCTATGCCTCCATCAGAAAGAATGACATTGCCCCATTTGTTAGGAAATGGAAAGACTTGGAAAAAGTTATATTAAGTGAAGTAAGCCAGGCACAAAGGTCCCATAGGTTTCCCTTATTTGCAATAACTAGTATATATCTGACACAAGCAGAAAAAGTCAGATAATGTTAAGTGAAATGAACCCCAAGATAAGGACACAAGTGTTTTTTTTTTCTTGCTTGCTATTGTTTCTAACATATTTATAAGGTACCACATGATTTTTTATGTCCCTCCCCCAATGTTTTCACTGTATTTGATGTTGGTATAATTTGGGGAGCAGAAGGGAAAAATAAACTTGTTTAGGGATACAGGTTGACCTATTGCAACAATGAAATGTACAAGAGGCTATGTAGAAAAATGAACTTTACACTTTAGGATGTGGGGGGGAGAGGATGTAGGTGTGGAGGTAGGAAGGAAGGGATGGTAGGGGAAAAACAAAGGAGGAGGCAACAATGCTTGATAAGAAATGTACTCATTACCTTGTTCATGTAATTGTAACCCCTCTGTACAGAATTTTCATAATAAGAAACATTTAATGAGAAAAGGTTACAGAATATTTACTTAAATTTCATGACCCATAGAAGCAGTACGAGGAAGAAAAAGTTTAGACTTAGTTATTGAAACTTTACATTTTTGTTATTTATTGAAAAAGATCAAATTCCCAGGGAAAATGGAATTTAGCATTTCACTATTTAACCCATTCATAATTGCAGAATTTTGCAATTATTGCATTTGTTGGCGGAAGATTAAGGTTTGTGATTTCTTCTTGCATACCTGTTCACAAAGTGCTTTTAGCAGGTTTGTATCTAAACATAGCAGTGCATCTGCTGCTTTCAAATTCATACCTGAGTCACTCCATGATTTGTAACATGGATTTCTTTTGCCTCTCTCATGTAATAATTTTTCCCATTGTAAGTCATAGGAGGCAAAAAATAAGTCAGATTCTAAAACACTAGGAACAGCATTTCTAAACTTCACCTGTGTGCTTACTGAATGAATCCTTCAAGTTCGACCTACGTATGTTTTTTGCCTCTTTAAAAAGGACTTGATATGAATTACTAGTCTCCCAAGCCTTTAAGCTATCAAAATGTTTTCTACTTCTAAGCTATATTTTCAAAGTCAATGATAGAAATGCATCTTTAACATTGAAATAGTGCAGTGAACACTAATTTCTTTTACTTTCTCTTCCAGGACAACTAAACTACCTCGGATCAAGCCACCAAATATGGCATATCCTTGCAGTAGTGATGTTATATTGGTGGCACCAGTCAACTGTGTATGTCATGCAGTACAGACATAGCAAGCCTTGTCCTGACTATATTTCTCATTTGTGAATTCAGGTATGGCTACCTGGCAAATTCAGTTGTTGAGCAATATTCAGTGGGGGAGTTGTAGACCCCACTATTTCTAAGGTTTCCATTAGTTTTTTTTTCTCTTTTCTCTTGCTGTATGTATCATGAGTAAGGATTTATGAACATATGACAATATACTTAGGCTCTGAAGTAATAATTGCTTTACAGACCCTTAATACTACAAATTTGCTGCTTACACGAAAAGTGAAAATTAGTGGGCCATCTTAAGATATATCTGGATGGCAACACTGAATGTTAAATTAAACCCATTTTACTTTACACCAGCTTAATTTCCTTAGGAAGGGCTCATCTCCATTGAATGACAGATTACATAGAGTCAGTCATCTTGAGTGATGACTTTAATAGAAGATATTTTCATTAAATTATCAAACTTAAGTGCCTAATCAAGGCAACGATTGTTATAGCCTATGCTTATTACAAGTGAAGATAGTAATTTTGAATAATCACAGCCTTTAAATGAATGGTTATGAAAAACTGGCACTTAAGGTACTTCTTTAGCTATAGATTCTCTTCTCCTTAGAAATACGCTGAGCTTTGGGGGTTTTGCCAAGACAAAAACTTGAAACTTCTCCTTGGAGAGAGAGATTTTCACATGCATTGCTATTTCTTTATCATGTAATAGTCACACAGGAAACGAAGGACATGGTCTACTTAGTAACAAAGTAATTATCCACTTAAATCTTTTAATCCCAGTATTGTTTAATTCTGTATTATAATTGAATTCTTGAGAGTGGATTTGACATCTCAGAAGAACTTTCAGCTCTTAATTTGTAGTCCTAAATTTCATAATGAAGGTTTCAGCTATCTGGGTGCTACTTTCAAGGCCATAGGATCTTGACCCTGAAATGAACCTTAAGCCTTAGAACACTCATGCAAATACCCCATTTAATGATATTCTCTTATACTTTAGTGTTCTGTTTGTGCATGTGTTAGCATTACATTCATAGATAACTCGAAAGTATAAATGAAATCTAAAATTTGGACTTGAAGCATTAACCTTGCTCTTGTTTATACATATTTCACTGCCCGATTATACAGTGTAACTCCTTTGTTCTTTGCTCTTCCCATATGCATAAAATTAAATCCTTTATTGAATTTATAAAAATATACTTTATTATAAAATACCATCAGAACTTCTTAATGAGTTGGCAAGTTCTTTTAAATACTTCTGTTTTAATTCAGTGAAAGTTAACTGGATATCATAAAAAACTTACTTTGAAGTTTATCCTAAAATATTTCCTGTACATCCAGCATTTGGAAAGTTATAATGTACCTCAGTTTATGCTTCTGTACAACCTTGTTTCTTTCTAGTGTAGTGTTTCTGGATTATAAATTCCCAATGCTAGCACTGCACAAGAGGAATTTTCTGAGTAGGCTCAGTGCAGACACACTACAACATAACCATTATGGTGGAATGCTACTTTGAAAATGGCTATTATACCTCATTAAGGCCACCAATTTGTGTGCTAAGTATTAGATTTTGATGTAACAACAGTAGGATAAAATGCTTGTAAATACGTACTGAGTCATTTCGGCCATGTGAAATACACTGATTATTGATCAAAAAGTGAGAAGAAAGTTATTCTAGGTGTAGGACCATTTTTATTGTAAGATCTCAAAGATTAAAAGCACTGATTCTTAAGTTTTACTTTGTTTTATTAATTCTTGGGGATTTTTGGTCATAGTGTAGGAGTTATGTAATATTAACCTGAGTTAATACATAAAAAGAGCATATTGTATTTTTAAACAATAATTTGAAATCTGAAATGCATACTGGTGTGACTGTAGGGAAAATTATGCCATGTAAACATTTCAATGCTTTATGAAAATGTTAAATGTAAGAAAAGCGACCTTTTTATCTTTAGTCTGATGTATTTATTATAAGGAATGAATATGGACTGTCGCAATGGATACTTACGTATTTCAGCATTTATTGACCAATCTACTGTGTGCATAGCACTACTGGTAAAATTTAAGACATTGTTAACATTAAAGAATATTTAAAAGTTGCCTACATATCTGAGCCTTGTAATAATGTATTTTTGTTTTTTTAGCTTATTAAAATGATTAAACATATATTATTGGAGTTACAGTATTAAAAAGACTGGTTTTAATTTTACATATGTGGAAACTAAAGTTTTTACTCATAGACTTTGCAAGGATTTTTCAGTTATCTATAGCTGTTTTAAATTATATATAGTTTTATTTCTCACTTAAGAAAGTCATCTTTACATATAAAGCCATTTTCAAATAGCAAGAGTTTTGTCATTTTTTATTATATTGGTACAATTCAGTAAGCTGCATGGCAAAATATTAATGTAAATAAACTGGGTTTACTAAATATATTAAGTGCTGCTTGTCATTTTTATAATGCATAAAGGCTTTAACATCATATTCTAGAGTCAGGAATGAAGAATCAGGGATTATCTCTCACATCTTATGGCATCCCACATGGACAAAGTATCCAATGTGAAGATTGTGATTGACTGGCATAGAGCTGTACAACTCTCCATTTGGCAGGTACCTACTAGAGATACACTTTACACTCTAGTAAATGTACAAGAGTAAAGCCTGAATTTCTGGATTCCTGCTGGTTGCTTAAATGAGTAGATTCACACCAACCCAAACAATCCTTCCTGGTAAAATGTGAGGGCTTTTTTTTTTTTTTTTTAAATCAGCTCAGCTGTTGGAGGGAAGAGCAGAGGTGCCTTCTCTTATCACAATAATAGTGTTCATATTGAAATATCTAGGTGCTCTTGAATACCATACCTCTGATACTTTGATACTCTAATACCTTAACAAAATCCCAAAGGGAGAAAGAAATAGTATTTAGCACTTCTATGAAACTGAACCTGCTCAGGCTTAAATGCACAGCTACCAAGGGCCTCGGCCTGCTCTCAAAATATCCCAGCAAAACATTAGCTAGCGTGGGTATAATTTCAGTTGTGCCAACCATGTCAACTATCTTCTTTAACATTCAAAAAAAGACTACAAAAGTTTTGAAAAATACATTTAAATATTAACTACATTACACATCTGCTTGAACTAAGCTTCCTTAAGAAGGAAGGCCAAGACAAGTAGCTCAATTTGCACCATATATTATTTTCTAAAGGTTAGCTATAACTGAATTCCAACAGTTGCTACATTGCAAATTGTTCTAATAGGCTATAATTATGGTATTTTGCTGTGTTGTACTATATAATATCCTTATTTTTCTGTATAACTTTAGGCAAATGTTACTACTTTAAAATGTTCATTTGTAGTAAGATGAATCATGTCCATGACAGAACCTGTCAAAAACCACCAACCTATAGCCTCCAGTTTGTGGAATGTAAAATACTACAGCCCTGACAGCAAGCTTCTTCCATCAGCCTGGTATATAGGTTTCTCTTTAATGTACAGTCTCTTTTCTGACAACAGTCATAAGACTACTATTTAATTTGACTGAAGATTTTTTAAGTTACGAATGTTAATAGTCTTTTAAGAATTAAAAAAATACCTTATAAATGATGTGAAAGCTATGTCAAATTATTCAATTATTGGTCTTGTATTAAGTGGTGCTCTTGCAAAAAAAAATTAGGTCAAAATATGTTTTCTTAAATCCTGCACCACGAATCTTAAAACAGGAGTCTAACTTTAATTTTTTTATGCCACTAGCTGGTAAAAAATAGAAGGAAGGAAGGAAATGAAAGAACTGAATATTATATCCACAACATTTAATAAGATAATGAAAAAACTCCACAGTCACTGATTATAAAGAATAGACAATCCTTTTGGGATTTATTGCATTTAAAGAAAGCAGATTACTAAAACAGTAGGTATGATAAATACAGTAAGAAAATAAACTTCAAACAAGCTGAATCAGGAACAGAATTCAATAATAATCAATGTAAAGGCAATAAAGTAATAAAATTAGTGCTTAGATATATAAGGGGGAAAGCAACTGATTCAGACCAGTTTCCCAGCAATATTTGAAGACTGAAGTTACTTTAGCACATATATTTCATAACAATTAGGAATATAACAAAGATGTAAATCTGGTTTATTTAAAGGGTAAAGTTATTTGCTTAGTGGTACATAAAAGGCTTCAGAAAATTCAAGTTTAACACAAAATGGAAGTGTAATCAAAAAAAGTGCACTTAAAGCTGTTTTCCAGCAATTAAAAAAGTAGCTTCTATACTGCTATTAGATGACTTTTCAATCACAAAAAAATAGCAGAAACAATTCTTTCAAAATCAGCACTATAAATTTTAAAATAAAAATAACCAAAAATAACAATCCTTTACATTTTCATCAACTTTCTTTTAGTGGTTTTTATAAACCCTCTCCAGGAGTGAATGTTATTTTAGATATGATTGTGATTGCAAGTCCATTAAAAAATTCACATTAACTCCACAGTAGAGAGATGTGATGTGCATGCATGTGTCTATTATAGAGTTGTGTCTTAATATATAAAACACCACTGAGTATAAAAGTTTTCAAATAAACTATCATTTATGTTAATTCTCACAGTAGATATATCATCTCATTCTCACAGTAATTGGACCTAACATAATAAGTAGAGTTGCTAAAAAAGAAAAAGTTCACTGCACATTCTACACATATTAAAACAAATGTACCCAAACTCTTCAGAATACTAGTGATTTTAACATACTTGTACCTTCTAACAGTGCTTATGTGAAGTACCAAAACCTAAAAGAAACCCAGCCAGGCAGCTGAGTGGTCAGAAAACTGCTCTGCATAAAGATCAGAAGCATAGAAGAGTGGGCCCCACCTTAGTATTTTCCACCAGCAAGAGAAGAACAAGTCTATAAACAATAGGATCAAAAGGTGCATATACCTGCAGATCAGATGTCATAACTATGCCCAAATACACACATACCCAGGGTTGGCAAAGGTTACACTTCTGAATAAATACTAGTCAGTTACAACTTTTCCTCCTTGACCTATTATATATACACCAAGCAATTTTTGTGTCCTAGCATATACATTCTTTGATGCTATGAAAGCTGATCTTTTAAATACTAACATTTTACTAAAGTAATGAAAGTTGAGCAAATGGTCCACTTTTAAAAAAAAAAGATAATTCAAAATGAATACTATTAAAGCTGTTAGAAAACAACTTTGGCCTCAGAGTTTTACTAGCTTCATGTTACTTCCTTAGTGATGTTCAAGTATAGCAGGTTTAGAGTTATGACTACATCCCACCCTTAGAAGCACAGAGCACACCCAAATAATGATAGAAATTAATTTTTTCACATTTTTTCTTAAACCAGAATTGGACCATTCCATAACAGAACCACGGAGTGCTCTGTGTGGGATATACTTTCTTCACTTGCCATGGGAATTTAATTCTCATAAGGAAATTAAAAGGCAACAGTTGTAGGGAGTGGCCTACATCTGACTGTGCTAGTGTGGAGGTGATGAATAAAAATGAAAAGTAAAATCTCTACACCTTGACAAGATGCCTATAACTTTTACCACAAGGAATTTTCCCAATTTTTGTCCCATTGGATCTCCAGTTAACTCCTAAAACTTTGGGCTACCATCTTGAGAGGAAATGTTATGCTATCATAAAGAGAGAAAAAAAAACACGTTTTAAGCTGAGAATACTTTGTTTATCCAATATTTTGTCTGAAGTATTTAAAATTATTAAGTGTTGAAGAGCAAGTAAAATAATGTATTTCATATTTAGATTCCAAGAAGTTCACAATTTAGATTCCAAGAAATTCACATTAATTCATGAAATCATGAAGCTTAGCAAGACTATAATTCTGATGTGTACTTCTTAACCAACAGATTGCCATTCTTTTGAGTTCTATTTGATAGAATCCTATTGTAGGTCATCAGTTTACTACGTGTAATCAACTCTTCACTTAAACCTATTTTAAAAGAAAAACTACTTAGGCATTTGCATTAGCAGTATTAATTAACCTGAGAATAAATAAAAAGGTGCAAACTTATTTCCCTTTGGCATAAGGACAGTTATTGGTGTAATCCACTCTAAAGCACAGCTGTAAGTAGTGAAACATAATGCTTGATCTGCCTCTGCTACATTGTGATTCACACAGTTTAGCTATCCTGTACTATCTAACATAGCATACAGAAAAAAAAATTAAAACATGAGTATGTAGTCAGTTACATATAGTTTGCAAAAACCCAACTAGGGCACTATAATTAAGAGATACTATTACTCATAAAATATACTTTAATTGGGTGTAGAGAATTAAAAATGTAGCAATCAGGAGAATGCCAGACTATAGTTTCCACTCCTGTTTGTAAATAGCTTTAACAGTTCAAGAAACTTCAAATATTAGTCTACAGGGAAAAACTATAACTTAGAGCAGGAAGCACAAGATACTGTAGTCACATTAATTCATTACACACAATTTCTATAAAACCTCAAGTTTATACTTAGGATTTGTGATACTTTAAAAAAGGCAATTTGGTAGCTGGATTTTTTCCCCTAAAGACACAGTCAGCTAGCAGATGCTAGTCCCTCATGCAACCCTTGAATCCATTGGCAGATGTGGTATTAGTGCAGAGGTACATGAGCAGGATGTGTGATTCCTGCCTATAAGGCTTTATGGGTGTCACTGTTGTGTGCACTATTAAAACTACTCCACCCTCTAAACCAAAGTAAAATGACTGTTGCTCAAAATGGAGAATATATGGCGAAGGTAGAAATTAATAAAGTACATTATTAAATGCAAAATGACGCTACATTGTAAACATTTTAAAAATTCAAGGTTTCAGCTACATTTTTTCCTGAAATAAAAGTTTTATATAATATAATCCTTGTCCTAACTCCCAATTTTTTCAGTACTTTGCTTCATTAAGGACATGATAATAAAACAATATAAAATGTTTCTAAAGTGTTGAATTCTGAATTCTTTTCTTTCCTATCATTATTTTTCAAATGCCAGGTATTTTTCTAGATGTCCATTAGCTATTCCAGGTTTTGGAGATGTCAATGACAAAAATTGTATGTATTTATGTCATTTTGTATGTATTTATGTCATTTATGTATACACTGTAGAGGTCTAAACTGAGCTAATATATACATTATTTCACATATTATTAGATATTCCATATTAATGGCACTTGTTTTTTTTTAATGCAATAGTTTTAGGCACAATAGTTCTGGCTCTGCTTTGTAGAGAAAGGTACTAAAATCTATGCGCTTTCCAGATACCTTGCTAATTTTTTGAGAGAAGTAGATTTTTTTAAATTGTATGGGAATTAGAAGAAACCTTAAATGCAACCTATATATGTACAAATCAGCCTAATATCAAAACTAGTGCTATCCATCTCTCCTGTCCCTTCTCCTGACTACACTAGACAGGTGCCATGGGCTCCCACTGAATTACACACCGTGGCGTGGTGTCAGAAACAGAAACCCATAGACTTTTCAGGTTAGCTCTCGTCTCCTTATATGTGGCATCAAAAGTTACTACCCTGTAGAGATACTTCCTTTTTCTATTTGGTTTATTTAAAAATCACCTATCCTGATTAACCTGTAAGAATGAATGATACAAAGAGCTATACAAATAAATTTTCTTGTAAATTCACAAAACTATCTCATACTCTTTTGAAACAGGAGTTAATGCAGAGCATCCATCAGAAGTATCTACTGTTTAGAAGGAAATGGAGCAGCACCAAATGGGTCTAATTCGACTGTTGGGGCCTGTTGGGACTGATGTGGCGTGATGCTTTGCACCACAAGTTCTGTAAAGGGCACGGCACCAAAGTCATCCATTTTCAACGCTTCCGCACTGTGGAATGACCCATGTAGTGAATTCTGTCTTGGCCGCCCAGGCAGGACAGTATTGTGATCAGCACGAATGTCGCTCAGGCCCTGGTGTGACTGGTGCCAAGACAGGTCTGGAGGATGAAAAGGCTTGGCACCAAAGGGATCCAACAGACTCTCCTCAGGTTGTAGGACATTCCCCCTGTCTTTGCCCTCAGTCAGTGCGACGCTAATGTTCTCCTTGGAGTCTGAGATGGTTAAAAACTCATTGCTGCTCTGAGAGTCTCGGCGGCCCACTTTTTTGTGCCTGCGAGCCCTCTCTGGAGTGCGGTAGGTAGGCTTCAAAGTCTTCTTAGAGCTAGTTGGTGTGCCATGATGCCGCTTCCCGTTACTTTTGGACATATCCTGCTTGGTGCGCCTCTGGCGAGAGGACAGTTTCTGTAAGCTGCGCTGCTTGGCTTTGTGCTGCTGACTCCCAGTTATTTCCTCAAAGGGCACGAGTCCAAAAAGGTCCTCCCTGCTTTCACTTTTACTTGCTGACATGGAAAAGGGTTGAAAGGGAGTGGAGCCAAATATATCTACACTTTGGGAGCGACTAAGGAGAGGACGTGCCTCAGGCCCCACCAAAGAGCAGTCCTGTACACTCATTTTCTTGCTGAAAGGCGCCTTTGTGAACACATCGAATTCCTCTTGCTCTAGTCCCACAGTAGGAAACATCTGGTGAGGGAGATTCCTTTCACGTTCTTGCGGGGGCTGCTGAGTACGTACTGCAAAGAAAGGGACTGCGCCAAAAACATCGAACTCCTGTGTCCGAGTCTCTACCCCAACATTGGAGGGTAGATGGATTGGGGTGCAGAGCTCTGTTTTAGGATCTTGGGGTGGTCTGCTGCCAGGCTTTTCTCTGTACTCAGTGCTCATGTCACTATACTTTGCTTTAGCCTGCTCATACTCCTCAGAATCAGAGCTGTGTTTCTCCTCTTCCTCCTCATCCTCAGAATCCATGAGGAGAGGCCTATGACCTAGGTTTTCTGGTTCAGTATCATCATCATTAAAATCTCCTTGTTCTCCTGGACCCTCTTCATCCTCTTGCTCTTCCTCCTCGCTGCTCTTTGGAGAAGGTGGATCTGATTCGAAATCACTTTCCGAGTCATCATTCCCCTCTTGCCCTTGGCCTCGTACAGATGAATGCTCTGAAGTTTTCTTTCCAGTCCTCTGCTCTTTAGATACTGGACCTGCTTTTCCATTTTTGACAGGGCTTGCAGTGCTGTTTTCTTCGTTCATGGATGAAAGTTCAACTTTCTTTTCAGGAGAACCTGTAGGTTCAAAGAAAAATTATTTCAGCATTCCTATGTATTTCAAAATCCGGTTGTACTAAACAAGCATGACATTACAAGCCCTCACACAACTTCCTGCAGAGGAAAAGTAATGTCAATTCTTTGTCATTGTCCTCAATTGAAGGATTAGAGAAATTCAGGCACATACTTTCTCTGCATTTTACATATTCCCAACTTCCAACTTTCAACTCATATTAGTTATCAATAGGTTTTACATGTTTTACTAATTTTAATTAGCATATTGGTATTTGTAAGACAGTACCTTCTGAGTTAGCATGAATATGTAATTCAAGGCAGTAAACAGACTGTACCAAGGGTACATCCTCCTTAAGTAGCATCTATCCTATTTTACAATAAGAGTATGTCTTTAAAAAAATATATAAATGATCAGTAATCACACCAAATACAGTGCTCTGCAATTTAACTGTGTGATATGTAGTACATGTAGTATATTTAAATATTGGGATACTAAATTGATCTTTCCAGAAGCAGGAGTGCATTTGTATTGATCCATGTCTTCTCTTGCTTTTGACTAATTCTGTAGGGTTGGAGGTACAACCTGTAGCCATAAAAAATAATTATCTCATGGTGAAGGGATCATTATTTTCCCATTACTAGTAAAGGCTCTGTAAAGTAGCACTGCCATATTGCTACAACTCCATGGATCCTTTTTCCCCACTAACATGATAAAAGTATGTGCATTCCAGTGTTTATCCTTGGCTGTATCTTAACTACTCATATTTGCTGCCAAGTACAGCAAAATTAGTGGTTGAGTTGGGTGCAGTGGCTCAAGCCTGTAATCTCAGCTACTTGGGAGGCAGAGATCAAGGTACTATGGTTCAAGGCCAACCCAAGCAAAAATTTAAGTTCCCAAAACTCCATCAAGACCAAGAGCTGGACACAATACAATGATGTATACTTGTTATCTTAGGAATACAGGACACATGCACACACACACACACACACACACACACACACACACACACGGTGAGTTGTTCAATGTTGGAGTACTTTCCTAGCGAGTGCAAGGCCCTGCCACTATTCTCCTCCCCCACTAAACTGATTGGCTGAAATCTTTTAATCCAGATCTTGTTCTAATATTTACCATGAATACTTACCTCCTAAGAATATGTAAATTCAAAAGTTTTAAGTTCTCTTAAGATATGCTCCTCATCATTTCCTTCTAAATCAGTGAACACAATCTCTACCTTCAAAGGTCCTTAGACAAGTAGAAATCTTATGATCATCTCCTTCCACATCTCCACATCTATTTATTCCTTCATTTTCTCTCACCGACAGATTCAGTCTCCAAACTGCCTCTCTACCACTTTCATAACCCTTCCCTTTATATTGATACCAGAAAAGTTCTTCAGAAATCATAATGACATTCACAGTTTAAAATCTAAATAGTAAATCATAATTCTAACTTCATAAACACAAAATCATAATTACTGAAGTCGCAATAATAGGGTTCCTGTTTAAAATCTTGCAGTAGTTCTGTGAAGTTCCAGCCCTCAATGTTGTCCCAGCAGAGAATGTTGTTCTCTATCTGGCTTCTGTTCTGCCCCATCTTTATAGACATTATACCATGATGCCTCCAACAGTATTCTTTATAACTGACACATCCCAACTATCCCTACAAAAACTATCCAGGCTCTTAAAACTTGCTATCAGAGGTTCAGGAACGTAACAGACTCAGCTGAAACTGTGCTGTCACATCATGTCTCTCAACCCATCCTAAAAACAATATCCATTTTTGTCCTTGGTGCTCGTTGATGAAACTTAGTACTTCTCTGCTACATTGTGACTTCTTGTTTAATTCTCATCATTATTGCTGTATTTCATTCATCTTGTTTGTCATGTCCTAGCATTTTTCAAAATATTTATTAAAATGAAACAATGACTACTCACCTATATTTGAAAACATAATGGAAGTTACAATAAGTACAGAACAATACAGTAAAAAATAAAATTAATATGTGGACATATTTTCAGCTCCAAAGTAATCAAAATTCTATTCAACAAGAAAGCATTGTATAAGACAGTTTAATAGATGCAATACATGGGTGATATACTAGTAAGTAGACATCATCTACACTCAGAGTGTAAGTGAAATAACAGTAGGGAGAATGAGAACAAACCCACAGGGAGAACTCAGAGTAGGTCTCCTAAGATGATGAGACAGAGCCAGCCATACAAAGGAAGCTGGAAACTGGTGCAGATGAAATCACTAGCATTTTGGAAGGAGTGACAATAGGCCAGTATAGTTGCTGCCTGGCAAGCAAGGGCACACTGTACAAGGTGAGGTAGGGAAGACTAAACAGGCCAGACTACAAAGAGCATGAAAGGAGAATGGAGTATATGCTGATACTCTGCATACGGCCAAAAGCCATCACAAGGTCTAAAATGGTTATTATGGTCAGATTATATTCCAAAAAAAGTGAGACTGCTATGTGGAAAAGAGTAAGAGGAGTGCAATAATGTCTGTGTGGAAGGAAAATTGTTGAAAAGAAGATAATTCAAGTTAAAACATTATTTGGCCTCAAAGATAGTGGTGGCAGGGTTGATGAAATTGGGAAGAATGAGAGACTGAAGAGGAAAACTGAGTGATAGTACCAACAGAAAAAGGGATAATTTATGAAGTAAAGATTAACAGTGTAGCTTTGGACACTTAAGCTTGATGTGTATGAGGGACAGCAGATAAATAGAAAGCAGTTAGAAAGCTCATTTTGGACATGACAACTTATACTTCTCGTTGTTGCATCAGATCCACCTGTATCCTTAAACAACTGTTTTTTCCCCCTCTCCTCCACAAGTTATACTGACATCAAATATAGTGAAAGCAGGGGTTATACTGTGGGGGAGGGACATACAAAGCAACAAAGAGATAGTCTTATAAATGCATTAGAAACACATGCATGAAAGAAAAAACATTAAAATACATGTCTAAGGGTTCATTTTCCTGACATGGGGGGGGAGGAGAAGGGTTGGGATTGGGGGGCAGGAGGGAGGCTGGGAAGGGATGTGAAGGGTAAACCAAAGGAGGAGGCTGCAATGCTTGGTAAGAAATGTACGCATTATCCTGCCCATGTAATTGTAACCCCTCTGTACAGTATGTTCACAAATAAAAAATAAAAAAAAGAAAGCAGTTAGATATCTGTGGCTTTAGCACAATGCTTTCTAAGGCTGAAGAAAATAATTTGGCAGACAAAATGTAGCAACAGCCACAAAACAAAAGGACATTGCCCTGAAGAGAGTATAAAAGAAAAAGAAGTCCAAAAGAGCCCTCAGACATAAAAAATGCACAAGTCAACCCAAGAACATGAAATTACAAAGCAAATAGTCCAGAAGCAGCAAACTAAGGTGTTGCTACTTCTTGGAAGCCAAGATGAGATAATCTCCAGAGGAGGAGGTAAAATACAACTAAGCTGGGTGGCGCAGAGATCCAGTACTAGTACTCAGGATTTGATCGATTTTGCTGTGTGTTGGCAAAAGTTGACCCAAGTAGTGATGCCAGAGTAGAATTTAAATATATAATCTGCTAGCTCCTTAAAATCAACCAAGAGCTCTAACAGATTAGAACTAAACCAAATACCTATCTCACATGTAACCAATCAGAATGCTTTGCTATAAAAAAAAATGGTGTTTACATTAGGTTCCAGGAAATTTTCAGTCATCTGTCACTGTATAGCATTTCCTCTAAGGAATATTTTAGATTATTACCCTCCCCCAGAAAGCCACATGTGCAGGCCCACACACCTGCTCATGTACATCTCCAATAACATCACAGTGTCTCCTAGTGCATTTTGCACTATTCCTATAACAAGAACCAAATCAACCTCTTCTGTGGTTTCAGACAACCAAGTCTAAGAAGTGATGCACCCCACCTTCTGCCACTATCTCTTCTCACCTGGAACACACTCATCAGAAGCCAAACACTAAAGAATATTTCATTTTATAAAACCTAGGATTTCCCAACACCTGTAAACTTTGGTAAACAACTGTGCAACAGCATTCTAGGAAAATGCTGCCCCATAATTTCTCTATGAAATTCTATTTCTTGGGAACTTAAATTTATTCTGGGGGGGGGGATGTTAATATTTTCCCATCTTGGAGAGTATTCTTCATTTTCTTATTATGTGCTTTCCAGAAGATACCTGTCACTCTAGATATTCTGACTGCTCTACCCAATATTACAGTAACAGAGATACACATTTCTTTGTGTGAAAGTGCCATTAAGGTCTACTTTGTAATTTAGTTTATTTAACATGGATATAAATCTGTCTTAATTACCAGTTTAATGGATATTTCCAAGTACCAACATAGCCCACAATTCATTATAACAGGAACATGATAAAAAATATTCTGTATACAACCTTTAGCTCTCATTGGAATCTCTATATTGATCATAGATATTCAGCAAATGTAAATTCTATGAAAAGCTGTACTGGTTAGGGAATCATGTCAAAAAAAAACTATGTGTTTAGTACAGACTAATTAAAAATATTTTAGAACTATAAGTGATTAAATACAAGGATGCAAAGGACTATCTGTATTATAAGGCTTTTAAGTCCTATTCCATAGCAAAAATAAGTATTACAAGCTCCAAATTTGGTTATTAATGTACAATGTACAATACTTTCAAATGCAACCTCTGGCTAAAAGTGCCATAAACATTTATAATTCATCTCTTTGCTAAACATAATTATAATTTAAAAAATAATCAGATATCCACATTATTTTCTTCTGAGGACAAAAATGTTTCTTTGCAGTTGTTAAATTAAAAAATACACATTTGACTTATTGTGATATTTAATTAGGATTATCTTACTGCTAAAGTTAATTTCCCCCAAGTATAGCCTAAATGTATTGCATTATTAACAAATCTTAAATCCTAATTAATCTCCATATTTACTGAGATTTGTACTATTAACATAAAACCAGCTGTTTTCAGAGGTCTAGAAAAGGAGCTCACCTCC